ACGGCGCGTGTGTCCGTTATCGTGCGCTTCACCGAGATCGAAGGAAATTCGTTTCCCTTATCGATCCAACGAGTGCGTGTGTGTTGAATGATCGAGTGTGTGAGTGCGAAGAAATTATAATCATCGTTTTTTAATAAACATATTTATTCACACAATTCCTTGTGTTGAATCACTGGATACCGCATCTCACAATCCTAGCGCTCGTTCCCACGCATCGTTGTTCGCATCCAGCTTTGCTGCTTCCATCAGAGAGCTGACAGGACGTCCGCTGCTTCCGCGAGCTGATTGATTCACCGACGGAGATCCAAGGCAGCGGTGCTCTTCCTTCCTCGTTGTCGGTTCAACGAGGTGGCGACCGTAAGATATTCCGGACGGATGCTCTGGCGCTTTGCAATCGAGGTTTGAGCCGGCAGATGTCTGGAACAAAGGTAAAATAAATTGTTAAAGTTAAAGTAATCGGTGTTGCTGAAAATAAAGTTGTCGTTAACGAGAGAGAGAGAGCAGCAGTCAAGAACCTGTGGACGCGAGTATTCGTGTATTCGTGTCTAGGCTGAGGCGCTTCGGTGACGGAGTTCGAGCCAGCTTAAAGTAGTCCGATAATAATAATTACGGTCAATAATAGAAATATTTATACTCTTGACGTAAAGTCCGGTCACAACCTAACCTTGACTAATCAAACCTTGACTAACCAAACCCTTGACTATAAATCAATTTTTAATATATTACGATTGTTGGGGGAAAAAAAAAGAATAAAAACAAAAAAACAAAAAAAAATTTCTTTTAAAATAAGTAATAATTCATTATAATTCATTATAATGTCTATAGTTCAGATTTTTTTAGCACCCTTATTTTTTTACTTTTACAGAGGGTCGGAACTTAGAATTAATTTTCAAATTTACCAAAATAGGTCCCAAATTCATAGGTCCAAAACACGTTTCTCGACATTCTTTATCCATCGGTATACTATAAATTTTTTCGATTTTTCCAAAATGACACTCCCTTAGGACTTGGAAAAAATTATGAAAATTTCAAAAAATCGGGAAAAAAATCTTAAGTCCAAAATACGTTTCGCGACATTATCTATCTACTGGTATAGTCTAATTTTGGTCCATTTGTCACAGTTAATACTCCCTTTGGACTTGGAATTATTAAAATTTACAAAAATCTGTAAAAAAATCATGGGTCTAATACACGTATCTCGACATTCTCTATCCGTTGGTATTGTAAAATTTTGACCGATTTTTCTAAGCCTATTAACCCTTCGGATTAAAGAAAAATAAAAAAAAAATTAAAATATACATTTGCTCTACCGATCTTATACTTATCTCGTGTTAAGGACAGGAAACATAATGTTAAATAAATCACTTTTAAAATTATAGCTCAAACTCGATTGTATTTCATTTGAAAATAAAACATTTTAGTAGTCTAGTACCACCATGGGGAGCCGCCTGTGACGTCACTGGGCCGCCTACTCCCCACCTCTGCGGCCCTAGTGTCACCGGCGGCTCCCCGTGGTGGTACGTCTTGTACGTTAATATAGCGACTACTCGCTCTCTCTTTTCCTCAACATGAATATAGCGACTACTCGCTCTCTCTTTTCCTCAACATGAATATAGCGACTACTCGTCCTCTCTCTCTCTCTCTCTCTCTCTCTTTCCCTCAACTTCCTCTGACTTCTAAAAATAATATTTATAAGCTTTAAAACTTTTAATGTTAAATCTCTCTCTATCTTTTTTTTCTACTTTATGATAGTGGTAGGGGATGTTTTGCTACTCTCTCAAAAAATTAAACATTTTATAAATAGCATATACAGGGTGTCCCAGAACTGGCGTACCGCCAGAAACCAGCGTATTCTCCGTGAAATTCTAAGACAGAAAGTTCTTTACCAAAACGCGATCCGATGAATGGAATTTGAACGGTAAGCAGCTATTGAAGTTCACAAATGAGCGCGCGTGGAATTCGCGCGGTCAGGATCGGCACTGAGACTGGCGCGATATACTTCAGACGATTGCTCGTGTCATAACCGTGTTTTTTATTACTCTGCTTTGCATTTAATTTAATTAATTAGTCAAAAATGTTTAAAATACATGATGAATTTGTTATAATAGTTTAAAAATTATTTAAAATAAGTGCAAATTATTTAAAAATAATAAAAATCTTTCTAAAG